CCCACCACAGTGCAGAAGAGTTCCTTTTTCCCCACAACTTCTCCAACATTTGTTGTTGGTAGTTTTCTTGATCCTGACCATTCTTTCTGGAGTGAGATGGAATCTCAGTGTTGTTTTTATTTTCATTTCTCTAATGACTTATGATGCTGAACATTTTTTCATGTATTTATTTGCCATTTGTGTTTCTTCATCTGAGAACTGTGTATGCATCTCATATGTCCATTTTTGGATTGGGTTTTTGAATTTCGGGAGTCTGATTTTTAAAAATTCTTTATATGCTCTAGACATAAGTCCTTTGTCTGAGGGACAGTTCACTAAGATTTTTCAAAATACACATGTTTACTTTTTACTCTGTTGGAGATTTCTTTAGACATGCAAAAATTTCAATAAGATGTGATCCCAGTTATTGATTCTGTAAAGTATTTCCCATGTAGTTTGACTTTTGTTCATGAAGTCTCTACCTATTTCTATGTCTTCAAGATTTCTACCTACTTTGTCTTTCAAAGGATGTTCTGTGTGTTAGTATACGGCTTATTTTAGAGAATATCCCATGTTGTGGGGTGAAACACTGTACACATCTACTAACTCCATTTGTTCACAGGTGTGATTGAGTTCTATTATTTCTTTGCTGATTTTATGTCTAGTTGATTGTTTCTATGTTTCAATGGGGTATTAATGTCTCCTGTTATTATTGTGTTATTGCTTATTTGATTTTTCATTTCTGTTAATATTTGCTTTGTATAGCTGTGTGTTCCTGAATTTGGTTCATATATATTTAAGATTGTTATCTATGCTTCTTGAAATTTTCCCCTAACTAGTATGTAGTGATCTTCTTTATCTCTTTGGGTAATTCTTGGTTTGAAGTTTACATTGTGTGCAAACAGTATAGCTACACCTGCTTTTTGTTGAGTCCCTGTTGCATGAAGTATTCTTTTTTTTTTAATTTTTAAAAATTTTTATTTAAAGAAAGACTAAACAAAACAGAAAATGGGTAGAAATAATACATACTTTCAAAGAAAGAATAAATGGTAAGAAATCACTAGTTGATATTTATGTACTATCCTCTTATGAATAGTTTTTCAAGATACTAAAGTGGAGCATATAAAGTGGGGATTCAAACAGTTGAGACTGCAACCAGTTCTGTTCAACTATCCAGCAAAAACTTAGTAATATGGTTACCATGCAGTTATCCACATCTTCATTTATGTTGAGAATGAACAAACTCAAGCAGGCTAAAATCACTCTGAACAAAGAATAATAGTATTGCTGGGTTTCATATTATGACACTCCGGGATCAGCACTGGATACTGTAGTGTCTCTTTTTCTTTAAAGTATTTGTTCATTTCATCATGTGTCATAAGATCAGTTTTCACAAACTGTTTATAGGTTCTACACATGCATGAGTCTTAACATTTATTTCTACCCTTTCTATATTAGAGGGAGAAACAAAACAAAGCAAGACAAAACAAAACATATTCCTATAAACACATGAAATGAAAAAGACATATAAGACTGCTGTACAAGGTGTTCTCATGGTTACTGTGTTGTCTCTTGTTATCTTCAATAGAATTAGCTATATCAACAGACATAGTATAATTGAATATATCAATAGGTAACAATATTAATAAAAACACAACTGTATATAGTATAAAACTTCAAAAACAGGTAGTAATCAAACTAGCATGGGTATCATAGTGAGTCTTGTCATCCTCAGTGTAGTTGCCTATACTCTCAGACTTGATACTATCAACCATATCAGTTTTGAATAAAATCTGTCAATACCAAACAGCAATCAAACAAACCAGATTTAACTAAGTTCAGTCGTGATAAAACAGTATAAGTCATACAGGGCTCCAAATTAAGTTAATAGGAAATTAAAGACGATTACTGTGCTATATCCTGGTGTTTTGGAGATAGCTGTCTGTGCCCTCAAATCTAACTAGACAAACTGGGACAGAATAAAATCTATCTAAGCAGAGTGGTGAGAGTAATATGGGTTTTAATTCTTCATACACTATTAACAATATTTTCTGCTGTCTTTTTAAAGACCACTCCTCCCTTTTCACTCCCCCAGGTTGCACTGTGCATTTTTGGGTCTCATCTAGAACCTCGGTTTTAAATTGGGGGGTGGCAACCTGCTATTTACCTAAGTGGTTCCAAACCTTCTCCCTCCTGGACTTGATCTCTAGTTATATTCCTTTACCTATGAAAGCCTGTCTTTCCAACCTATCCACAAATACTAGTCTAGTTGCCCCTATTACTCTTGATTCCCTGTCACATAGAGTATTGTTTTCTCATATTTGATTTTCAGTCCATATAACCTTTTTCAGGTTAATTATATTTCCTATAAAGAGCATCTTGTTGGACCATACCTCCTGATCTACTCTACCTGTGATTCTCCTTTTTTTTTTAGTGTATCAAGACCATCTATATTAGAGTTTATAACCAACCTTCTATGCCTCATTTCTGTTATGCTCTCTTTTTTGCCATTAGTTGCCTGCTTGTCTTCTTCATTCTACTTTCTGCTCCATTAATTCAGGCCTCTCTGCCACTGTTCCTGGAATCTTGGTACTTTTATCTCTCTCTAGAATGCCCTGCAGTATTCTCTGTAAAGTTGGATTGGTGGTCATGAATTTCCCCAGTTCCTCTTTGTCTTGGAAGCATCTTGTTTCTCCATTAATTTCTAGAGATAGTTTTGTAGGGTATATCAGTCTGGGCTGGAGGTTATTTTCTTTCAGGGGTTGGAATATTTTGCTCCAGGCTCTTCTTGACTTGATGGTTTGTGTTGAAAAGTCTGCGTAATTCTGATGGGCCTTCCTTTATAGGTGATCTGTTTTTTGTCTCTATCAGCTTTTAATATTCTGTTCTTATATTGAATTTCTGTGATCTTGATTCTTATATGCCTGGGTATAGTTCTGTTTTGGTTGTAGGTGGCCAGAGTTCTATATGCCTCATACATGAGAATATCATTTCCTTTTCCTATGTTTGGGAGTTTTCCTTAATTATTTCTGTGAATAGTCTTTGTAGTTCCTTTGTTTGTATCCCTGCTTCTTCATTCACATTCTTTATTCTCAAGTTCTAAATCCTCTTCTCATCTTACTTCTTGTTTCCTTGTTACTTTTAAAAGGTTTTCCTTTTCATAATCCCACATTGCAAACCTGTCCTCCAGTTTGGATAATCTATCCTTAGTTTCTTTCAAGCAGTTTTGCCAACTTTCAATGGAGTTTTAAATTTCCTGGTGATATCTTTGAATCTGCTTCATGTATTCTATATATTTTTTTAAATATTCTTCATCAACTGATTCTCTCCTTTGTTTGTGTTCCTCCATTTTTCTGTCTGTGTCTTCTGATGCCGTCTGATATTGCATGTTTGCTGCCCTCAGTCTCTTTTGAATTTACCTCTCCTGGATCAATGTTCTCAGGGCTGGGGGCTGGGGACTTTTTCTTGTTTCCTTCTCTTATCATGCTTTTGGTTTCCTCCAAACAGGTGTATAGAGAGGTCCAAGCCCCTTCCCTTGTTGGTTATGGTTCTTCTGAAGCATGTTGGCTAGGGTTTTCTGCCCTCTCCAGTTTGCTATTGGTCACTGAGATGCAAGCATCACTGTATATGCTGGCCTCTCCCTCTGTGTAAGTCAACCTGCTGGGGTCTTCACTGAGTTAGTGCATGCTGCCTACAGAATTGGCTTGGGGTGACTTATTGGGTCCTGGCCAGAGGTGTGACCCAGGCAAAGCATATCCCACCAATGTGGTCTGGGAAGGGAACAACTGACTAAAGACAGTGCTGTTCCGTGTTCCTGCCCGTCCTGCCTGATTCCAACATGTTGTCCAGTTGGTTGCCCCTTTCCCGTGGGATAGTCTTATTCCTAGCACTAACTGCGGGTAATGCCAGCTCTGTTCTCTGTTGGGCTTGCTGGCCTACAACTTCAGCAAGACCCATGGTTCCAGCGAGTTGCAGTGGCAGTTCAGTCAGCTGGTCAAAGTGGTGGGATTTGGGCAGCTCTGTGAGTCAAGGCCCTGCGAGTTCCGGCACTGCAGTGAGAGCACTGTGGTTGCTAATCTTAGCTACTATGGTAGCCCTGAGACTGCATGTTTGACCAGTTCTTTTCCCTTTAGTTTCCATCTCCCGCTGTCCGGACCGCCCCACGATGTTTTATTTCGGCATCTGAGTTGTCTGTCAGGGAGCCACTGTATTCTGCTGCTTATCTACCCACCATCTTGGGGGAGGAGCGCCCACAAATATTTTCTATAGCCCTTGAACAGAGTAGTTTTCCAAGAGGCCCGTGTCTGAGCAGCCGGCTGTGAGCTGGGGTACTCTTCCTCTTTCTTCACCTGGAGAGTCCTCTTTATCATTCAAGGTTAACCTGAAATGTCTTCTTTTCACTGAAGGCTTCATGACTAAGTCAGGAAATTTCTTTGCAACACTTTTGTACCTTTGTAGCTCCTTGAATAATTTTCCATTATTCTTCCTTCTTTGTTTTCCAGAGGTGTTGATTAAACCCAGGACACTTTTACATGTCCAGCATGTATTGTACCCTGAGCTACACTACCCAGACAGTGTAATTCTTTTGAGTTTTCTTGCAGTTGTGAGGTTCCGTTGGACTTCCCTACTGTAAGCTTTTAAGGGAAGAACTGAGTCTTAACAAGGTATAATTGCTAGTGTAAGATGATTACCACTGTACCAGTAATAATCAATGTTGTTTCCTTTATTATAATTTTTATTTATGACACCTCCCACGTGTGGAATAGGTGGGTACTTTATTCTTTGGTAAACCCATTTAGAATTTAATGGTCATGATAGTTGGAGTGATTGTGTCATCAGCTGTTGAATCAGGGGATGTTTAAATTTTTATGTTTCTCTCTCCATTTCTTTACCTTTTAAAACACTCAGTCGAGGTTTTTAAATAATCTTTTTGATTTGTTTTGTGTTTTCCTCTTTGAGAACATTGAAATGGCCTTGTGTTTCATTCAATCAACGGAGTTAACTTGATGGATTTGTTTCAGGCGTGAGCTGAAAGGTTTTGGGGTGAAAGTCAGCGTGGTTGAACCTGGTAGCTTCAAAACAGAAATGATGGATTTGCAGCAATCCTTAGAGAGAGTGAAGCAAGCCTGGGATGAAGCACCAATGCATATTAAGAAATCCTATGGACAGCACTACTTTGATACTTGTATTTTTCCCCTTAGGGAAAGGGTATATGGTTGTATTAGAAGAGAAGGAGGGGGTTAATGGAAAATGATTTGCAGATACAGTGAGAACAATAGTTCTTAAAACACTTTTTGAGGACAAGAGGGAGTCAGTAAAGTCCCAGTGTATTAATGGTTTGGTCTTCATTGTTGCTGAAAGGCACAGAGAAAACCCTGTGCCAGTACCATCCCTCACCTAATGTATCACATATAGGCTGACCCTCTGGGTGGAAGGAGATGATCCTTGGTTAGGGCTGTGGAATCTCTTGTCATGAGAGAAGGGCATTTTGAGTGTTCAGCAGGGCTGTCATGAGATGTCTACATGACTGATGTGCAATTTTCAATGTGTCTGCTCTCCTGGTTACAAATTTTGACAGGATGTAAGGATGTAATTGGGGAGAGGATCCTGTCTGCATGGTCTAATAGGCTATATCTGGGACTATACCTCTCATATACAAAGTTATAGAGCCTTGTGGGAGTGAGATAATTTAATTTCAGGTAAGACCATGATTCTGGTTACCTGAAGGAGTGGATGGTGTGGGTTGCAGGCAAAGCTGGCCTCTTAGTAGAAGTAAATCATCCACATTGGTGTGAATCTATACCTCCTTGAGGGAAGGGATACTTTTCCAGAGTCAGCAAATGGCAAATTTGCATGAAAAGGCCCTGTGGTGATAGCAGCAGCCCTGGCCCTGTCTTTGGGAGATAGTGCAGTTCAGAGAAAAGGAGCAAGGGAAGATCCATTTGTGGAAAACTCTTGACCTAGATGCTGTCTTCTGGTCATACCAGTCTAAGAGATCACCAGCACCAGAGAAGCAAGAAGTTGGATCAAGAAAGGCTGAGCAGAAGTGCTGGAGCCTCTCAGAACTCATACTGGTTAGAGAGGAAAGTGTTTTCCAGTCTGCTAGAGGTTGGCCATTATTATTTGCTCTTTCTCCCCTCAGATTCTCTACTTCTAGGGAACTTGCTTCCCTCTGGGTCCATAGAGTATTGAAATAGAAATCAGTAGAACACTGGAAAACACGAAAGTGTGTCATCTATCTATCTATCTATCTATCTATCTATCTATCTATCTATCTATCTATCATCTATCTATCTATATCTGTATATATAGATATCTGATAGTTGTCCATTGATCAGAATATTTAGATCAGTGTTGTCCAATAGACATAGAATGTGAGCCACATGTGCAATGTTAAATTTTTGCAGCCTTGTTAAGCATAATAAGAAAAAGCATGGAGGTGTGGCTTAATTGTGCAACATTTGTGCATCTTATTTAAGCCTGGGTTTGATCCCCAGCATTGAGGGGAAAAAATGAAGACAAAGAAAGATGTGAACCATTATAGCACTGTTTTTATTTTATCCACTATAACCCACTGCAGTTTTATAAACACTACTAATATGAGTTATTTTTATTGTATGTGTTTTATATTAGACTGTGTCATTACTATTTGTTTTATACTTATATGAACTACCAAGTTGGATACTAAGTTTTCCTAGCAAGTACAATATCTATCTCAGTGATTGTTAATCAAATGTATAGTTGTCAATAGCATTATTCATAGTAGCCCCAAAGTAGAAACAATCCAAACATCAGATAAAACAATAGCCACTCAATGGAGTGTTATTTGGCAATGAAAGGGAGTCAAGTTCTGGTATATACTACATTAGACTAGAGGCTAGTAGAAGACCACATGATTGCCAGGAAATGCTCAGGGAGGACAAATCTATGGAGATAAAAAACAAATTAGTGGTTGCCTTGGCTGGTGGTTGATGAGACAATAGAAAGACTACAAACGCGCACAGGTTTTTAAAATATTCTTTTCTTTTGTGATGGGAATTAAACCTAGGGCTGTGTACATGGAAGGCAAGTGGCCTGTAACTGAGGTACAGTCTCAGTTTCTTTTGGGGATGATGCAACTATTCTAAAATGGAATTTTGGTTATGGTAATAGAACATAGAGTATACAAAAATTATTCTTTGTGCATGTTACATGGCTCGATATTATGATGTATAAATTATAAGTCAAGAAAAACAAAAATTGTAGAAAGTTTCCATTTAATACTGACTAGTCACCCAAAAGAAAAACAAAAGACAACATAAGAACATGATTGCTAACTCTCTTTTCTCTTTTTGTATACAGATTATGGCTTAATTAAGAAGTTGCTGTCAACTTGTAGCACAAACCTATTCCTGGTCACTGACTGCATGGAATACGCTCTGACCTCAGCGCATCCTCGTACTCGATATTCTGGCAGCTGGGGTGCAAAATTTTTCTATATTCCTCTGTCTTACTTACCCACACCGTTGGCAGACTACATACTGACCAGATTTTGGCCCAAACCAATCCAGGCAGCCTGAGGAAATTGCATTAGTGTCTTTTGGAATGAACAATACAAATTTCTGAAATTGGTTGTTAGTGTCTCGGTAACCCTTATTCAGAGCCCAGGCTGTTTGTAACAGTAACTATTGTTTTTATCCTCATTTATCTGGCGTGTAAATTAGAAAGCCAACACATTCACATTGCAGAGATCTAAAATTTACTACTTTTGTGATGAATTCTTGTGACAGAATTTGCAGCCAGGTGCACTGGCATGTGCCTGTATTCCTGGCTATTTCCAGAGCTGGAGCAAGAGAACAGCAAGTTTGAGATCAGAGTAAGCACCTTTGGGAGAACCTCAGAGAGTAAACTGTAAAGAATTTGCCATACAACACATTATTAGATTTTACTTTTAAAAACTAAAATACATGCAAAAGAGTAACAAATAGATTTATAGATGAGCTGAGACTTACATGAAAATTTGGCATATCAGAAGAAGCATAATAAGGTAGTGAAAAAAATGATTCATAAGTAGGAGAAGGCAAGGATTTTCTTATACAGAATAATAACTCTGGATTCTCACCTTACTCCATGTACTAAGTAAATCCTAGTGGAATGTAAACCTAAATATGGAAAAGAAATCTTTTAAAATCTTCAACATAATCCTTTGGAGATTGAGCAGAGGTATACTGGAAATATCAAGTGAATTAATGTTTTTCTTAAACTGAGTATTAGATTAACAAGTGTGGATGATATTTAACATTGTGCATAAAATATTGTATATCACCAATAGTTGATAAGAAAATGAAATTTAAGAACATATATTGGTCTATGTAATCACAAATTGTAAGAACTCACAGCACACACCTATTAGTACTCTGTGTAAACAACAATAAACTCTTGCAGAAGGTAAAACACCTGTGAGTACTGCATTTTTAGTGGTTATTGTTATTTGTGTCCATATTTTAGTTGTTACTGTTGGGGATTTTCTTGTTCTCAATGATTGTTATTAAAAATCTGCTGAAGAAAATAAGCAAAGAGAAGAATTCTTTAGCCCACCAAGAGACAAAGTGAAATGTAGGATGTGAAGAGGTTACTATTATTGGGTAGCAATACCTTAGTCCTTGGAAAGGTCACAGGTCAAATAAGATTGTAATTTTTCCTCTCTATGATTTTGTACCTAGCAGGCATTTGGTAAATATTGGCTGAATGAAGCAACTGGTAAAAGTTTAATTAGATGAAGTACAGAAGGTGCTTTTGGAGAGAGAGGTTCTTGATAAGTTAAAACTGTGAGAAAAGAATCAAAGTACAAATTACTGAATATAAGTAGAGCATAAATCAGAGCTGAAGAGGGTGAGTTAGTTGTCTATGCATGTCTACGGTTTTTTTTTCCTGTGACTGCACAGTTTATAAAGCTGTTAACCTCTGAACAAAATAAAAATTTTCTGTTTATAAGTTGGTTTTCTGAATTGTTTCTTACCATTGCAGACAGTTAGTTGACTAACAAAACTGCTTGACTAGTGTTCATATTTTCAGTATTAATTCCTTCCCATTAAAATGGGCCTATGAATTGTAAAGCCTTTTAGAGGCTGGTCTTGATCTCCTGGTCTGAAGAATTTTTCCTGAGGTTAGATTAAAAAAAAAAAATTGAAGTGTCACTATCCTTCTCTTTTCCAACTGACGTCCATAAGAGATGTGATCTCATAGAGTGGTGCCATGCCCTTATACTTCCTGTGTGACATGTGTGCTAGCTTCACCAAGCTTCCAATTTTCAGCCACTTGTATTGTTACTCTGACAACGGTCCTAGTACCCTTGCTCTTGCTGACATGCCTGACAGCTCCTCCTGGTTCTGGGTGTTCTTGGTGCTGTTGCCTATCTGAGGAGCTGATGGAAGACCCATCTGACTGGACAGAGAACAAGAGGGATGCGGGCACATTATTTATTCTGGGAACATCCAGACCTCAAGTGGTCATGATCAGCATGGTTTCCACTCCTGGAGACTCCTGAAAAGTGGTGGCATCATTGTTTAACATTCAGACAGGTAACAATGAAAATCTAATTTGAGTTGTCTTATTGTGTACTTGTAATTGTTACCTTGGCTAGAGTGGACTGCAGAGTTTGCAATAAGAGCTGGTGACACAAGAGACTATTAGTACTGAGGGCCTTCGGAGAGTGCTGGAGACCTGCACAGGACAATGGAATCTGGTGCATGTGCACCACAAAGCTTCTGAGGAGCTGAGATGGGTGGCTGGGAACCACCAGGATGCAACATTGAGAGCTAAGAGGTAGTACTATAGAAAGCTCAGGGTCATAATAATAAGGGCCAAGAGTCGCTGATCCTCAAAGCCCAGAACTTCCAACATTAAGGGAATGGCACTTTGCCAATATGTGATGTCTATCTGAATTGAAGAGAAGAATTTTCAAGCTAATTTGTGACACTTTCACCTCAGTCTGTGTGTAGCTGGGAGTGTAGACCTGAACAGTGTCTATAGTCCAAAATATTTTGAGCAAGTTATATGCATGATTAATTGTCTAAAGAAATGGAGATTCACTATTTAATTTTGAATTTAGGCACTTTAAAAGCCTATTATCTCAAATGGTTATTGCAAAATAAAAATTATTAAACCATAAAATGAATAAATAGTTGTAGATTTGCGGCATAGAACACCATCGTAAAAACAGATTCTAATGGTACTGTTCATCCTGTTTCCTCTCCATATTCCATGTACTTTGTTGTTGTTGTACTGGGGATTTAACCAAGAGCCTCTGCTCTGAGCTATACCTGCAAGCCTTTTGTATTATTCATTTTGGGATAGGGTCTTGTTAATTGCTAATTTGTTCTAGTTGGACTGGAACTCGTGACCTTCTGATGTCACTCAGTCTTTTAGAGTGCTGGGTGACAGTCGTATTGTGCTATTTCCAGTTTAAGCTCTACTTTCTCACTGCCTCTACAACAGCCCAAGGCATGTGAATCTCACAAGGCCCACACCTTGACCATACAAACGTGGCTAATTTTATCACCAAGTGATCAGTAGGGGAGTGAGTTTAGAATATTTTTTCCCATGAATATTTCAGAGCAGGAATTAGCTGTTTGTATCTGATCATGTCCAAACACAGTTACTTTTTTTTCTCTTGAAAAACCCTAAAAGTATTGGAAAAAGAGAGATGCATTAATACCCTGCTGCTTTTGGGTTTGACTACTTATTGAAATGCAAATTTCCTTTTTGCCATGCCTGACTGAGAGCAACAGTATAAGTCTTCAAAATCCATCTTGGTTGATTTTAAGAATCATAAACAAATCTTCATGATCTACAGCAAAGTTAATAGCAATATACTGTTTAGGTGTGACCTCTATAATTTGTGAGGAAAAAGTAACTACTATGATATTTCTGTTGAATATTTAATGTTTCCTACAATTTATGTTGGAACCTAGAGTTAGGAGGAGAATCCTTTAGAAGGAGATCATTTACGAAGCCTCTATCCTCTGCACAAGATGAGGCCTTATCATGCCCCAGAGACCTGGCTTTCTCTTCTATCTCAGGAGAACAGCTTTAAAGCACCATCTTCAAACCAGAAAGCAGAATATTAGGAGATACTGAATCTATGGGCTATTAGATCTCAGACCCCCAGTCTCTAGAAGTGTGAGAAACAAAGTTTGATTGTGTACAGGGCACCTTATTCCATGGAATTTAATTATAGCAGCATGAATAGACTCTGACAATACTTGATTTACTTAGCATTAGTTATTTTTTAATCAGGCGGGAAAGGTAATAATAACACCTGATATTTACATCGCATTAGCTCTCCCATCAAGTACTTTTTAAGGCTTTCTTTTTCATAAGAACTCTATGTGGTAGGTATTAATAGTTTCCCTGTTTTATGAATGTGGAAGGACCAGAAAACTTTATTTAAAATAACTCAGCTGACACGTGTGGGAGACACTAAATGGAGAATTGGAAAATCTAGCTGAAGAACATGCATGTTTAATCGCTAAAGAACATGGTATGTATCTATCAGGGTTTGTTCTCACATCTATTTGTTTACTTATTATTTTAAAGAGGAAGAAATTTGAAAACAATAATTAGAGGGTAACAATGTTTAATACACTGTGTATTGCTATTTTTGGATTAGTTCTTATAGTGCAAGAATCTTCATTTAATTCTTCAAGCAATATTAGCATAAATCTTTCTTTTCAGTGAGTGAAATTAGTAGAGTAACTGTCGTATATAATTACCAATTTCTTATATATATCAGCTATATATATCGTATATATATTTATCTTTCAGCTGTATATATATACACATATATACCATATATATGTATATATCAGCTTTTACACTATGGAGACAATATGATTACACATGTGACTCTGATTTGTTTCATGTATGAGCATGACCTTTAGTTGCATCCATTTACCTATAAAAGTTTCAAGTTTATCCTTCTTTATGGTTGAGTGGTATGTTGCTCTATAAAAATGCCATATCTTTTTTAGCCATTGTTCTGTTGATGAGCATTTAGGTTGTTTCCAAGATCTAAGTATTACAAATTGTGCTGTTAGAAACATGGGTGCATATGTATCACTGTGGTACAATGCTTTTAATTCTTCTGGGAAGATACCAGGAAGCAGAATAGCTAGGTCAAACAGGACTTTCAGTCCTAGTTTTTTGAGACATCCCACACTATTTTCAGAGATGTCACAGCAGTCTATACACCTACTAATAGTGGAGAAGTGTCCCTTTTCCCCACAGCCTCTCCAGTATTTGTTATTGCTTGACTTCTTGATAATAGTCATTTTTTCCAGAGTGAGTTGGAATCTCAGTGCTGTTTTAATTTGCATGTCTCAAATGACCAGTCACTCTGAATATTTTTCCATACATTTATTTGATGTTTGTATTTCTTCATCTGAGAAGTATGTATTCATCTAGATGCCCATTTTTGGATCGGGTTATTAAATGTGAGAGGTCTGTTTTTTTTGAGTTCCTTGTATCTTTTGATTGTAATCCTTTGTTTGAGGAAGAGCTGGCAAATATCGTAGGTTGACTCTTCACTTCATTGGTGGTTTCTGTTGCTGTGCAAAAGCTTTTCAAAAGGTAAGATCCCACTGTTGATCTTTGTGATAGCTCCTGGGAGACTGGGGCTTTATTAATAAAGAATTTGCCTACACCAATGTCTTTAATAGTTTTATGTATTCTCTCTTTCAGTGGATTTAATGTTTCTGTTATTTAGGTTTTGATCCATTTTGAATTAGTTTAATGCATGTTGAATGATGTGGGTTCACTTTTAATTTTCAGCATGTGTAGAGCTAGTTTTTCCAGCACCATTTATTAAAGAGGCTATCTTTCTTCCAGTGAATGTGTTTGGCACCTTTATCAAATATAAGGTGGCTTAATGTGTCTGGAGTTGTGTTTGCAAATTCTATTCTGTTTCATTGATTTTTTAGGGTGTTTTTTTTTTTTGGTACCTGGGATTGAACTCATGACCTTGCACTTGCAAAGCAGGTACTTGTGCCACTGAGCTACCCCCTGGCATGCCACACTGTTTTTACCACAGTAGCTTTATAGTATAATTTCAAGTCAGGGATTGTGATGCTCCCTGTCTTCCCTTCATTGCCCAGAATTTCCTTTCCTATTCTAGATCTCTTCTGGTTCCAAATGAATTTCAAGATTGTTTTGTCTAATTCTATGAGATGTGATATTAGAATTTAGATCAGAATTAAATCTGTATTACAATTTTGAAAGTACGGACATTTTCACTGTGTTGCTTATTCCTATCCAAGAACAATGAATATCTTTCCATTTTATGATATTCTCTCCAGTCTTCCTTTTTGGAACCCTGTAGTTTTCAATGTAGAGTCTTTTTACATCATTTGTTAGATTGGTTCCTAAGTGCTACATCCACCTCCCCATGTGTCTGGAGGACTGTGGATATCTCAGCAAGCAGGTGAGCATCGCAGGTTCCAGAGGCCCTGTGGACTGTGGTAAGTGCTCAGCACACTCTGCCCAAAGCCTAGACTCTTCAGGACCCTCCAAGCTTCTGGGTGCAGTGAAGTGGAGAAGTGCGTTTGAGGCATCTACATCCGCCTCCGCATCCCAGCTGCGCTTGGAGAACTGTGGAGCTTCCAACAAGCAGGGGGGCACACAGTGTCCCTGAAGCCCAGCTTATCTGGAACTACGGAGTTCTAAACAGGCAGAAGAGGGCCATTGGTTTTACAGGCCCAGTGGCGTGGGATAACGGGGTGCCAGAGTCTCAGGAGCTGCGAACATAGAAGGGGATTTCCAACAGACCTTGAGGAAGCTTTCAAATAACACTTGAAACACAGAAATATAGGAAAATGACAAAACGAAAGACCAAATTACAAACTCAAACCTCCAGCCCATCTCAAGAAACCCTAGGAGCAATGTATATAGAAGAAAATATATGCCATTCACCTCAAATATCGGACACAATAGCTACTGAAATTAACAAGCAACTCCAGGAAGCTTTAAAGAAATTCAAAGTTGAAATAATCTCCCAGGTAAAAGAAGAAATGATAAAAGAAATGAAAGAGATACTGAATATATCTAAAGAGCACACAGTTATAAAATTGGAGGAACTAAACAAAAAGATAGAATCCCTAGATGAGCAATATAAGAAACAAACAGAATACATAATGCAGATGCACATACATATACAGGAAATAAAAAACTCCACTGATGGTTGTAAAAACTGCCTCAATGAAAGTGAAGATAGAATTTCAGACCTTGAAGACAGGATTGCAGCTACTGAACAGGAAAGGAAAGATCTTTTAAAAATAACAAGGAATCAGGAAACAACAATTCAACAACTGCAAGATGATGCAAAGAAGAATAACATAAGAATGATAGGGATTAATGAAAAAGAAGGAGACAACATAAAGGATGTCAAGAGGATATTTAGAGAAGTAATAGCTGAAAATTTCCCAAGAAGGAGATCAGAAACCGACATCAGGATCAGTGAAGCATATAGAACTCCAAATAGTCATAACCAAAAGAAAACTACACCCAGACATATAATAATCACCATCCTAGAAATCCAACACAAGATTAGATTATTAAAAGCTGTCAGAGAGAAAAGACAGATCACTTACAAAGGAAAACCTATCAGAATCACAGCAGACTTCTCAGCACAAACAATAAAGTCAAGAAGAGCATGGAGTGAAGTATTCCAGATCCTAAAGCAAAATGATTTCCAACCTAGACTGATGTATCCTGCAAAACTATCATTCAAAATTGATGGTGAATCATTGGTCATTAGAGAAATGCAAATTAAAACCACACTGAGATACCATCTCACTCCTGAAAGAATGGCCAGGATCAAGAAAACCAACAACAACAAATGCTGGAGAGGCTGTGGGGAAAAAGGAACTCTCCTGCACTGCTGGTGGGAGTGTAGACTGGTACAGCCTTTGTGGAGGTCTGTCTGGAGATTTCTCAAAAAGCTGGGATTGGAAATCCCATTTATTCCAGCTATTCCACTTCTAGGCATATTCCCAGAAGAACTGAAAGCATCATACCACAGTGATATATGTGCACCTATGTTTATAGCAGCACAATTTGTAATCGCCAGATCTTGGAAACAACCCACAAGTGTCCATCAACTGAGGAATGGATAAAAAAGTTGTGGTATTTCTATACAATGGAGTATTACTCAGCTATAAAGAAGGATCACATTGAGATATTTATCAATAAATGGGCGCAGCTTGAGACCATACTCATAAGTGAAATAAATCAATCTCACATGTGTGAATACCAAATAGTTTCCCTAATGTAAATAATGATTCAAATATATAAAAAATGTGGTAATCATGATTCCCCATTATGTGGCCTTGAAGCCTTATAAAGTTTTCACTTATTAATTGGAAAGTCTTTATTCTGAGCTTCTTGATATGGAAATATTTGAAGCTATAGTACATGAAGTTTTATTCAAATATTTGAAGGAAAAAGACAGTATGGTAACTACTATTAAGTCGGGTTATGTGGTGGTGAAGCACTAGCTTGCTGAAACAGTCATGCTTTAACCTGTATTGTTATATTGTTATGTTCTCTTTTATCTCAATCTCTCCCTTATTCATTAAAAATTATTTAGTTATTTTTTATGGTTTTTTTAATTAAGGGGAGAAATTAAAAAAATTAGCAGGATATATAATAGTAACTTTTTTTTGATTTCCTATTAACTTGTTTTGAAGTCCTATAATACTCCCACTATCTTGTTTTGACTGATTAGACTCTGTTCCATTCTGTATGGTAGTATCAAGTTTGAGGGTATAGGCAACTACTTTGAAGGCAATAAGATTCACTAAGACGCCCATTCTGGTTTGAGTATTGTCTCCTTTGGAAGTCCTGTAATGTTTACGATGCTTAAGTTTTATTGGTCTTGTTCTCTACTGTTTTGTTCAACTTTATGATACCTAATTAGATAGACAATTCTTTTTAAGGAAGCAAGAGGCATTTTGGTAACCATTGTTGATAACCTTGTACCGTGTTTTTACATCATGTGCTAAGTCTATCCTTGGTTTTGACTGAGAGCTTTGTTTTGCCATATCTGACTTTATTCTCCCCCCCCCCCAAAAAAAAGTAATAAGAACTAAGGAGTAATAAAACCCAAAATGTGTAAATTTTGTTGTAAAAGAGAGAAGGAAAAAAAGTGCTCTAAAAGATACAACAGCAAGTGTGTTTAGGGGTCTTAAATAGCTGACCATATTAATGTTTTTGGTTGGATCATTGAACACAACTGTTTGCAGTCTCACTGTTTGAATGTCCACTTTGTATGCTGTGATACTGTGACTTGAGCAACTATCTCTAAGATGATAATATGTAATCTATTAACTGGTGATTTCTTACTGTTTTTTTTGTAGTTCTGTATTACTTGTACCCTTACACTGTTTTGTTTTGTTTTGTTTTTTCTCTTTTTCCTTTTAAATAAAATTAAAAAAAAAGATTGGTTCCTAAGTGTCTCATATTTTTGAATGCTATTGGGAAAGGTACTGTTTCCCTGCTTTCTCTCTCAGTGAGTTTATTATTCATGCACAGGAAGGCTATTGATTTTTGAGTGTCAACTTTGTATCCAGCTATGCTACTGAATTTGCTTATTAAATCTATCACTTTTTTTTGTGGAGTTTTAGTACAGTATCGTGTCATCTGTAAGTACTGTTAATTTAACTTCTTGCTTTCTTATCTTCATTCCTTATATTTCTTTCTCTTGTCTAGTTTCTCTGGCTAAATTTTCCAGGACTGTATTGAATAAGAATGGAGATAGTAGATATCCTTTCTCATTTCTAATTTTAGAGTGATAGTTTCCAGTTTTTGTCCATTTAGAATGTTGTTGGCTGTTGGTTTGTCATAAATGGCTTTAGTGAGAGTGAGATAAAAACAATCCGTTCCAATTTTTTCATTTTTTCTTTTTTGATACTGGAGATCAAACTCACAACCTTGTGCTTGCCAGCAGATGTTTGTGCCACTGAACTAACGCTCCCAGCTCCATCTAATCCAATTTTATGTAGGGTTCTTGTTTTTTTAACCATCATGAATTGATGCTGGAATTCTCTGCATCTATTGAGATCATTATATGATTTTTGTCTTTGGCTCTGTTAATATGTTAATATGGTGTATTGCATTTACTGATTTATATATGTTGAACCATCCCTGCATCCCTGGAATGAATTCCTCTTGATCATCATGTATAGTATTGATGATGTGCTGCATTCTGTTTTCCAGTATCTTATTGAGAATTTTTGCATCTATGTTCACTAGGGAAATTGGCCTGAAATTCTCTTTCTTAGTGATCCTTCCTTTCTTTTTCTTTTGGTCTTTTTTTTTGAGGTAGGGTTTTCATTATATGATTTAGGTTGGCCTTGAATTGACTTTGTAGCCCAGGATGGCCTTCTACTCACAGCAATCCTCCTCCCTCAGCTACTTGAGAACCCTTTTCTGGTTTTGGTATCAGGGTGATGTTTGGTATCAGGGTGCTACCTAGTATGAATTTGGGAGTATTGCTTCCATTTCAACTTCATTAAAGAGTTTGAGAAGTAGTGGCTTTGGTGTTTTCTAAATGATAAAAATCAGCAGTGAGACCCTGCCTCAACAAAAATTAATATACAGCAAGAAATCAAATGAAAAGAAACTTTCCAGATAAAAAAATGTGAAAACCAGGTTGGGAATTTAGCTCAGTGGCCTGAGCACCTCCCTGACAAGCATGACATGGTAAGTTCGATCACCAGTACAAAAACAAAACAAAACTAAAAAACCCAAAAGCAAACCAAACAAAACAACCCCCCCAAAAAAAACCCTCAAGCAAAACAAAACAACAAAACAAAACAAAACCACAAACCAAAAGCAGTGCATAGTGTAGAGAGATGAGCCAGAATCAAAATGAATATTCCACAAGTCAATGATTAAAATGTAGTCACAGATTTCCTGCTAGGTTGTTTGGAGGCTGCCACGCTCTACAGCAGATCAGGATCTCATTTCCTCTTTTCCTTCTGGCTGCACACAGAGCAGGCTCTTGTCTTGCACACTGTCCCTGTTCCTGGTTTCTGTGAAGTCATGTTGCTGTACCTGGCAGCCCTCGTGGGTCTGTACTACCTCGTGCGCTGGTACCGGGAGAGGCAGGTGGTGAGCCACCTCCACGACATGTATATCTTCATCACGGGCTGTGACTCGGGCTTCGGGAACCTGCTGGCCAGGCAGCTGGACATGAGAGGCTTGAGGGTGCTGGCCGCGTGTCTGACAGAAGAAGGGGCCGAGAAGCTGAGGAAGCGGGCATCAGAACGGCTGGAGACAGTGATCCTGGATGTCACCCAGACAGAGAGCATTGCTGCAGCCACCGAGTGGGTGAAGGAGCGTGTGGGGGACAGAGGTAGGAAAGATGTCACAAAGATGCAGTGTCATAGGCTGTGCGTGTATCTAAAGCAGGGTTTAAAAGCGAGACTTTGACATTTGAAGAAATAATATTGTGGAATTTTATTTCATTAAAATGTTTATATTGAAAAAAGAATTTGATAGATATGAGACTATTGTTTCATCTTGCAGAAAGAGTACAGTCTCAATTGTTGATGTCTGAAGAAATGTCTTTTGTCTCTGTCTCTCTTTCTTTTTTTTTTTTTTTTTGTCTTTTTTGTGATGGGGTTTCGCTATGCAGTTCAGGTGGCCTCGAGCTTACTTTGTACCCTAGGCTGATCTCATACTGGCAAGGATGGTCCCACTCAGCCTCTGGAGTGCTGGGATTACAGGCGTGAGCCACCACGCCCGGCCTGCCTGCCTGACTGCTTTTTCTTTCTTTCTTCCTTCCTTCCTTCCTTCCTTCCTTCCTTCCTTCCTTCCTTCCTTCCTTCCTTCCTTCCTTCCTTTCTTTCTTTTATTTCTCTCTCTCTCTCTTGTCTCTCTCTCTTTCCTTCTTTGTTTCTTAGTCCAATATTAGGAATTGAGCCCGGTTCTTTCTTCTGAGCTGCACCTTCAGCCTTTTTAAAGATTTTGAGCCACTGTGTGTTTAAGTTACTCAGTTGACCAGGTTGGACTGGAATTTGTGATCCTCCTGCTTCTCAGAGTGTTTGGATTAGAGCGATGCACCACCATGCCCAGCTGAAGAATTTTCAAGAACTGATTTGAGCCTGTGTTTAGTTTTCAGCATCATAAACAAAGAAACAAACAGAAAGACTTTTTTGTCTGCCCTTTATTACTACTGAAATATAGGCATTCTGTAAAGTCAGGCTTTGATCACCTTGAAGATTTTAAAAAATATTTCATGAAAACACATTTATGCATTCTCAAAATTAATGTACCTTATTTCTGTAGGCAGTTTTAGGTTTACAGAAAGTAGGCAGAAAGATCAGATTTCTTTTTTTTTTTTTTTTTTTTAATTTTATTTAAGGAGAAAAAAAAGCAGCGAAAGGGTACAAGTTATACAAATCTACAGAAAAAAATAAACAGTAGGAAATCACCAATTAATGGACTACACATTGCCATCCTAGAAACAATTGTTTAAGTTACAAAATTAAAGCTTGCAAAGTGGACATTCCAACAGTGAGACCGCAAACAGTTCCGTTCAACAATCCAACAAAACTCAGTGATATCATTATCTATCTTATCCACTTAAATATACATGCAGTTATATTGTTTAGAGCACTTTCTTTTCCTCTCTTTTGTACAATGACAATTACCCATTTTGGGTTTTGCTGCTCCCACAGTTCCCACTACTTTTTTGGAAGAGAGTAGAACCAAACGTGACATAACAGAACAGAGTCAGTCAAATCAAAAGGGTGGACATAATCAATAATGTAAAATCATAATACAAGGTGATCAACAATGGTTACCATAATGCCTCCTGCTATCTCTAATAGAATTGTCTATATCATCAGTTATAACAAAATTGAACAAAACAGTAAAGAACAAAACCGACAAAACCAAAACACTGGAGACATTATAGATCTTCAAAAGTAGATAATAGTCAACCAGAATGGGCCTCATAATGAATCCCACTATCTTCACAGCTGTTGCCTAGACTTTCTAACTTGGTACTATCAAGCAAAACACAACAGAGGGACATCAAGCAAAACAAGATGTTGAGAGCAATACAGGGCTTCAAATCAAGACAACGGAAAGTGAAAGTGGGTTACTATAATACATCCTGCTATTTTTTATTTATTTTTCCCTTAATTAAAAGGATAAAAGTAAAAAAGTAAATAATAAAGTGGAGATTGAGATAAAAGAGGGCATAACAGCAAAACAGCGCAGATCAAAACATAACCATTTAAGCAAAATAGTGTTTCACCACAAGATAATCCCGACTTAAAAGTAGTTACCATAGTGTCTCTTTCCTTGAAATCTTTGAGTACAGTATACTTTGTATACTGTAGCACCAAATATATCAAAACAATGTAAAACCATTTAAGAGAATGACAGTATTACAGGGTATTTAGAATCAACTAACAGAAAATGAACAGTGATTTCTGTATAATCTCCTTGTCTATAAAAGTTTTTGCTTATACTATCATACATAATAAAATCCAGTAAGATACAACCTGTTTAGACCAATGGAGACAGAAGAACAAAAGCTTGATGAGACTTCAAAACAAGATGATACTATATCAGTATTACCTATTAAGACGTCAGTTTCTCCAAAATAGCTGTTCGTATCATCCAATCTTCTCTGCCTCATTTCTGTTGAGCTCTTTTTCTGTCATTAGTTGTCAGTTTGTCTTCTTCATTTTGTTTTCTGCTCCATTCATTGTGGCCTCTCTGCCACTATTTCTGGATTCTTTCTATTTTTCTTTCTTAGAATACCCTGCAGTATTCTCTGTAGAGTTGGATTGGTAGTTGCATATTCCCCTACTTCCTCTTTATCCTGGAAGCACCTTGTTTTTCCATCAATTTCCAGGGATAGTTGTGCAGGATATATCAATCTTGGCTGGAGATTATTATCTTTCAAAGCTTGAATTATTTCCCCCCACGCTCTTCGTGATTTGATGGTTTGTGCAGAGAAATCTGCTGTAATTCTGATGGGTGTTCTCTTGTAAGTGATCTGCTTCTTGTCTCTGACGGCTTTTAATATTCTGTTCTTGTATTGGATTTCTGGAATTTTAATTATTATATGCCTGGGTGTTTCTCTGTTTGGGTTGTAGGTGGCTGGGGTCCTGTATGCTTCATACAACTGAGTATCTTTACCTTTTGCTAAATTAGGAAAATTCTCCTGGATTATTTCTGTGAGTAGCTTTTGTAGTTCATTTGTTTGTGTCCCTACTTCTTCTTTTATGTTCTTAATTCTTAAGTTATGGATCCTCTTATCATCTTCTAGTCTTTGTATTATTGCTGTTTGTTTCTTTGATATTTTTAAGAAGTTTTTCATTTCATTCTCCCATATTACAAATCTGCCCTCCAGTTCAGATAATCTGTCCTTAGTTTCTTTTAAGCTGTTATGCCAGTTTTCGATAGAGTTTTTAGTTTCCTGGTAATCTCTTTGAACCAGCTTCACGTATTCTATGCTTTCTCTATTTTCTCCATCAAACAATTCTCCCCTCTTTTTCTGTTCTTCCATTCCACCATCTTTTTTTCTTGGGTGGTGCTTAGCATTTCTCTAACTATTCTGCTTATGTCTAGCTTCAGGTCATTAATAACTTTATTCCTGAAGTTGTCTATGAGGCTCTGGAGATAGCGCTTTATATCCATTGGTGCTGTGTCTGCTATTGCCTCTTTCTCACGATTGGGGGCCGAGGACCCTTTGTTGTTGCATCTTTCCATATTCTTTGTTCCTTATATATGCAAGAGTATACAGGAGGCCCAGCTTCCTTCCCTGTCAGCCACAGTCTGATTGAATTGCGCCGGCTAGGTGTTCCTGCCCACCGCAACACACCAAGAAGTTGCAGACCAGGCAGCCTATGCGGGGCCCACCCCTCCAGGTCACCTTCAGGCATTGGGATCTGGGTTGTGCTAGCCTACTTGGTCTCAGCCAGCAGCGTCATGTAGGCTAGGCACTTCTCACCAATCCCGCTTGAGAGGGGATACGTGGCTGAAGTCACTGCAGCGCCCTGTTCCCACAAGTCTGCCTGGTCCCAGAATGTCCTCTGTTGGAGTCTCCTAAACCATGGAAGAGACCCAGTTTCTCTCACTCACTGCAAGTCAATGCACAGCTCCCCGCCCGTCCTGCTTTTAACTCGGTTCACGGATTCCTGTTTTCAGTGCTTCCGTGCATCTCTCTCCCTGCCGAGCTGATGTAGATGCAGCAGCAGCAGCGGGAAACCCAAATTGTGGCTTCCAATGCCACAGGCTCCAGCTTCCACACGGAGGCTTTTCTGTTCCTGTTGTAGCACCAGGATTGCATTCCCAGTTGGTTCCTCTCAGCCCAGTTCATTCTTGGGTCAGCAGGGCATATCTCCACTTGCTTATGATTCCTTACTCCGCACCATTCCTGAATTCCAAGCTGGGTCTTTCAGAGAGCCTCCGTAGCTGCTGCCATCTGTGTGCCATGTTCTCCCAGAAGTCAAGATCAGATTTCTTATCTGCAGCTATTTGGAGGACAACAAAAGGCATTATGGTAACTATTGCTAATTTCATAAGGTTTTGAAATCCTGTATTACTTACAGAAACTTATTTTGATTGGTTTTTATCTGTTTTATTTTCCTTGGTTGTACCCTCATTAAAAGAAAGAGAAGTAAAAACGATAGGTCCTCCTTCCTATTTTCCCCTATTATTAACATCTTACTTTGGAGCTATATACTTGTTACAACTCATGAACCAGTATTTATGTGTTATTGTTAATGAAATTCCGTAGTGTCCCTTGTGGTTAACTGTGTACTGTGTAGTTCTTTGGGTTGGACAAATGAATAATAACTTGCCTTTACCACAGTAGTATCCTACAGAGGGGTTTTATACCCAGGAAAAATCTCTGTCCTCCACTTATACATCACCACCATTCCATCCTCTGGTGGCTACATTTTTGGTGGCTGTTTCCATATTTTTTCTTTCTTTCTCTCTCTCTCTCTCTCTCTTTCTTTCTTTCTTTCTTTCTTTCTTTGCTTCTTCCTTTCTTTCTTTCTTCCTTTTTTTGCTTCCTTCTTTCTTTCCTTCCTCCTTCTTTCCTTCTTCCTTCCTCCTTCCTTTCTTCCTCTCTTTCTGAGTCAGTGTTTTGCTATGTAGATCAGCCTTGAACTCACTATGTAGCCCAGGCTGGCCTCAAATTCATGGTGATTCTCCTACTTTAGCCTCCTGAGTTGGGAATGACTGTTGTTTGCCCCCATGCCTGGCTTTATTTCCATAATTTTGCCTTTATCTTGTAGTTGGACTCATATGTGGTCTCAGATAGGCTTTTAGTTAATTATATGCATCTCACTTTCCTTTTTTTCTTCGTTGATGTTTAAGAGCTAT